GGGCTTCCACAGGTGATGCTTTATTATGCTGATGTTAATATTAGCATCCATACATATAGTATACAGGTTATGAACTCTATAAAAGCACACAGTCTCCACAGGTAGGTTTTCTCAGTACTGGGCCTTATACCGTGACTGAATTTATTCTGTGTAAAACAACTGCTCCTCTCATATTCACATTTTCAGTCTTTTATTCTCTTCCCTCAGCTCTAACCCAAATAGCAGAGGTCAAATAAGCCTGGTCGGATTGGTTCCAGTTAACCAAGGAACAAAAGGAACAGTTTCTTGCTCTTTATGAAGAAAGGGAAGTAAAGAGTGTGAATAAAAACCTGCCCACTAATATTGTGAATAAAGCTGTGTGGCACACAAGAAGATAAGAAGGGAAGAAAAGAGGGAGTAGTGTCTCATGACATTCATTTCAGAGGAAAAAAGGGGAAAGAATCATGTGTCATTCATTGCATAAGCTATGCACTTATTCCAGAGCAATGAGACTTTAATCCGAGATCTGAGTTTCTGTTCCATCAGGAGACATATTACCTGGCAAAATAAACTGTCAAGAGGAGAGGGCAGAGATATAGTAGCTGTTCTAAAATAAAGGATGAATGTTGAACCAAGCTGTGAATGGGAAATATGCGTGCAACATACAGGGTGGTTTTTACCTGAATATCTAGCTCCACCAAAAGGGCTGGCTCTGCATGTTTAAGAATCATGAAGACTTAGTACCATTTCTCAAGGCTATGGCTGAGAACGGATTTCAACCTGGTACCTATGGGGATTTGAAAAGGGAAAGAAGAGAGTGAAATTCCCTTTAGTCACTTTGCAAAGAGATCTCACCTGACTCAGAGGAATTCATGTGCCTGTGATACTTCTGGGAAGTGGCTGCTCTCTGCTTGGATAAGTGGTTTGTCAAAGCTGTCAAAAACTTCTGCAGTGGAAAATACTCTTCTAGATTACAGATGCAAACACTATCAATAATACCTTTGGAAATTAATCCAGATTTTCTTCAAATGATAAAATAACATGCATTACAGTGTAGATACGAAGACTAACTTTTGTTTGAGAATGAAAGTGGGTGATTATTGTATTGTTCTGAAAATGTTGCTATTTATAATATAGTATTTTATTTAATTCACATAGTTTATTTCCTGTCTGCTGGCTCAGTATTAAATGCCAAAAATACAGAGAACAACAGTAGACTTCTAGGTCCAGGGCTTGCATTACTTGTTTCTTCCACAACACCACTAAGTGAGAATTCTACCATGTATTTTCTCTTACTGCATTGAGGTCAGACTATAGAGTTTAGCATTCCTGAGGCCCACACAAGTTCTGGACCGTGGTCCTGAATCACAAACCTTTTGGGATTCCAGCTTTGTGGATTCTTGACAGCCATCTCTTTGCTTATGAATGGATCCACTAAAAGAAATTACCCAAATGTAATCCCTAAGCATGCAAATGTTTGTGTAAAATAGTAATTAACATACAATTTCCAGATCAAGCAAGCTGGCACCCATCTGCTCATAGCTGAGTAGAGCATAGGATTTATATAGGAGTTTACTGTTCCTATAAGGACGAAGATGTATTTGATTTGAGTATCTAGTTTTTTAACTTGATCCCTTGCTGCATCATAAATGCTAAGAGGAAAGCATGACAATACTATTAATTTTAATATAAACCTGCACCAGTGAGAGTACATGTGTACAAGTATGTATCATCTTAGCAATTGTTATCAGCATTGAAGAATGAATAAACTTTATTTTGACTGAGTGGGGGTAGCCAATATGTGCTGTCTCTAGAGAAACCAGAACAAAGGCTACACATCAGGATATCTCAGTACAGTAAATTCACTGAGGGCAACCACAGGCATGAGATGTGGGTTGAGTTTAGTAACCTTATCTCACAGCGACTACAGTGTGTCCTTGTATCTAGGGATAACTCTTGCACGTTAGCTATTCGCTTGCTGTGAGGACCACCCCTCATCCCTATAACCCTGACAGTTTAAATTGTAAAAATAGAGTAAGACCCTGTTGCTGTGAATTGTGTTGCTTTTGCAATTTTGCTCCAGTCAGTTAAACAAGCAGGTCTTGTTTTCTATTAACTGAAAGTAGTCACTTGTGTTTTTAGCTGGTAATTCTCTAAAAGCAGTTAAATTATAAGCCCACTTAAATAATCGCACTGAATTGGGACTACTGACTTCACAAAAAGATTGAGGTTGGAAGGTACCTCTTGGGGTCGTCTGGTCCAACGCCCTGCTGAAGTGGGGCCACCTACAGCCAGTTGCCCAGGACCATGCCCAGGTGGCTTTTGAATATCTCCAAGGATGGAGAGCCCACAACCTCCCTGGGTAACCTGTGCCAGTGCTCAGTCACCCTCACCATAAAAAAGTCTTTCCTGATGTTCAGACGGAACCTCCTGTGTTTCCGTTTGTGCCCACTGCCTCTGGTCCTGTCACTGGGCACCACTGAAAAAAGTCTGGCTCCATCCTCTTTTCACCCTTCCTTCAGGTATTTATATACATTAATAAGATACTTCCCAAGCTTTCTTTTACAGAGTTACAGTGGTGTGATGTCAGACTGTGCTTTCCCTCTCTTTGGTATAGAAATGTATTAACATTTCAGTGTGAGGAGTGACAACAATTAGCACAAAAAGGACATCATCCTTGGGTTTGAGCTACGTATATGTGCATGTATCTACTTAACAGGAAAGAAGAGGTAAAGGGCTCATCCACTGTATAATCCCGAAAGATCCCTCAGCTTATTTATGATCTTCAGCATTTTTATGTGTGAGGATGCCCTTTCTGAAAGGCTGATGGAATATATGGACTGACTAGAGTAATCCATGAGAGTAGTCTTTTACAGCAGACACTGTCACCTTTGCAATTAATGGAATAGTAGTAGTAGGCAAGGAAACAAGAATACCATGGACAAAGATGTAGTTACTAGAGTTGAAGGGAGGACAACAGGTTTGTTTTGCATCTGCTTTCCAGATCTGAAAAGGAAAGTTTTTGTTTCACACTGCAATGAACACATAGCCATGCAAATACTTCCACAAGTGCAGCCTTCCTCCAAATATCCATCCAGAGCCTGCAACCTTAGTCTTCTGAATCTTAAGTAGGTGAAGCAGACTTTGGCTGATAGTGTAACTGTCCCACGTTTTGTTTCCTACCTGCGTTAGAGCAGAGGTTGTTTCGATCCAATGTCTCCCATGATCTCGGCTGATGTTGAAAGTTGAATGTGTGGAAGGAAAAAGATTCCCTGCAATATGTCAGCAAAGACCCGCCACTTTCCACCTACTATTTTTGGTAGTATTTTGAATTTACTACTTAAGCATTTCCAAAGTTATTTTGTACTGTGCTTCTCTCCAAAGTAAATCTTCTCTCGACCCTACTTTGAAAGTGCTGCCATGGCTATCCTGTGTCACCTCTGGCAGCTAGCTCACGTCACTTTCTCCTGAACGTCTCTGGGACACTCGAAAGAGGGTATGCCCACAGACTGGGAAATGTTGCCGATTCTGGAATAGAGACGGACATAACTGAGTAGAGCTAAACACAACTCAAAGGAGTATGATTACAAGTTTAATTTTGTTTCTAGCATTTTCCCATAGGTTAAAAAAAAATTTAACTGATTATGAAGACAATATATTGTTAATGACTAATACAAGATTTTTCTTCTCTTAGTGTAACAGGTCGTTTATCACCACTCTTTCGCAATATATGCTTATATTCAAATTTCAGATAATTATGAAGACATAGTTGCAGTATAACTCTTTCATGATAAATTAATCCTTTTAAACCAAAGCTCCTGCAAAGATCCTTCCTTCATCTTTTATATGTGTATGCAGGCAGCATCATAGGAAATGGCAGGTAGCACAACAAGTGACACTGGTGCCCTGCGCGTAACATAACATACATGCTCTTACTGCGATGAGTCACTTACTGTCTTGCTCTAATGAAAAAGCACATTGCTGGGATAACAAACCATTTCAACTGACTTTTCCTTTTTACTCAAAACAGGTGTTTTGCGTGTGTATGCCCTTGCACACGGTGATCCTGGGGAAATCTTGTGAAGGTTTTGTATGTGCAGATCCCCTCACTAAGCTGCCACCATGATGTCTGGGTTAGGATGCCACAGAAAAAGAGGGGATGACTTGGGATGAACTTCGCATGACTTAAGTGGCATTTAAATGAAAAAAGCTAGGACAAGCCCGTTCATTTTTCCCATACCAGACTTTACAGGCATCACTTAGCCTCAGGAGTGGAGTTCTGGGACTATCTTCGGAATTTCCACCTCTCTTGCTTCACTGTATCGTTATCGTAGTAAAACCTGTAGTTGCTATTTGATGATTATCACCTCACTGAGACCACATGCTCAGTGTAAAACATCTGCTCTGTTTTCAGCTATCAGAATGATAGTTAAAGAATTATACAGAAGAAAGCTAAGCCTAGGTCACTGTTTTTTTTCTATATAAGCTATTCCAAGATTTACAGGAAGAGCTTTTCTTTCTGATTTGCCAGCAAAGTTTCTTATCCTTTAATGAGAAATAAGTGCATAAAGCATAGGTACAGCAACAATTTACAAGCTTCTTGCAATAAAAATTAGGAGCTGAGATACTTCTATTAATTTATATAACAAATTGCAAATAGACATCAAAAAGATTGGTTGTAACTCTTAGTCAGAAGTCATAGCTGACAAAGTCATAGTTGGATTGATAAAATACAGCTCAAAGCTGCTGCACCTTAAATCATTGCTCTCAGTTATTCAGAAAACTAATTTCAGTGTTTAACAGATTTCTCCTCTTGTTTTTCAAATGGGTGCAATGGTCTTTCTATGTTTGTTCTTCAAATTGTACATACAAAATTCTTATGAAATCTGATATACCAAAGCTGCTTGGTAAGAGTTCAAAATGCTAGAAGAGACAGAAAGGTTAACTAAAATATTTAAAAATGTTATGTTTCCTAGTGCAGCTTCACCTCGTAGAGGTTATGGTCATTTCACTGTTGCTGGTTACAGTTCTGTCTGAATGAGGCGTAGTGCTTTCTTCATGTTCTCTATTACTGAAAGAAAAATAAATAAGAACTTTAAAAATGTATTTAATGTGCATTTGTACAATTAAAATACCCACCTAGTTTGATTAGTAAATTGTTCATATTGAAATTAATTTATGGTCATACATTATATTGTAGAGCTTTCTATTGTGAAAATTCTGGCATTGATACTAAAGCAGAAGGTAAAAAGTTTCATGAATCAAAACGTTTAACTTAAAGGGATTTGACAAGACTCCTTTCAACTCCCTCATTTCTCAACAGCAAGCCTGGTAATCAGATGTGACGTGCATATTTGCGGTGAGATACTGCATTGGTGTCAGATAAATGGTATAGAGTAAGGACTAGTTCAACCTGAAAAATCACATTCCTTTCTGAAATATGGGTGTTAGGTGGTACCCGGGTAGCCACCAGCATTTCTTCACTGATTCCCTCCCACCACTAGTTGTTTACGTTGCGCAGTGGGATACCTTTGAGCGTAGTGACTTTCACCATTGTCCAGCAAACTGCTCAGATCTTGAGCCTGAAAGTTCTCACCCATGATCTTTCAATTTGTCTTACCCGAGTAGTCACGATAAATTCCATAGGACAATAGGTGTGCTTAAGTGTTTTGCTGGAACAGGTTAGACTATTACAGTTTGTTGCAAATGTTCACACAGAGTCTTTATTCATTACTTTGAGATCTTAATGAATTCTCAAGCACAAATGATTGGGGTGGGGTGTATCTGGCTGCTTACAATGTGAAATGCAAAGTAACACGACAAAGGGGGCACTTACAGAATGGTATGTCTTGTGGTTCGTAAGTGTAAAGCCGGTTGGAGTATCTTCCTGTGATATCAGCTCTTACAGTGAGAGATGGGTCTGAAAAAGTAATCGTATGAAACACTGCTTTCCATTCCCACAGCAGCTGAGTGCAATGTCCATGGCACTACTTTGACAGCCCCGTTTCTGAGCTGTTCTGATTTCATCAACAAGACAATTACGAGGCCGTTACGCTCTGTTCCAACCAACTGCATTTTACTTGGAGAAATCCTGAACAAAAGCTGATGCTCATTTTTATATTATGCAGCTATTTTTAAGTGATAGATTACACATGCATTTCATCCATATTTAAAGCAAAATATCCTGTTTTACAAGTTCTGGGGTTACATCAGGAGAGGCCAATTTGACTGTATACACGCATAGTGGGGGTCATGCGTATCTAATGCAATATTAGCATGACCTACCTAGAGCCTTCAGAATGAAAATCTTGTGATTTTTAATGTTCCCATCATGGGATTGAGTTGTTATGGACTTCTCTTCTCCCCATTCCTCTTCCAAGCTTTTTGTTAATTAACTGACTCCTGTTACTACATTGGTCTCTGACTGTGGGCTTCATCTCACATAGCTTTGGATGCCATCACAGAGGTAGTCACTCCAGGAGACCTTGTACAGTCAGTGAAAAGGAACAGGCACTCTGGGGCATGGTTCCTTTGATCTATTCCAGAAATAGGCTTTATGATGGGATAAATCATTCCTTAGGTGTCACTGACTATTGACTTGTTCTGTGGTAATGTCCACACTGTAAACATCTACATTGAGACAGATATTTGACTGTTTTCAATAAAATTTGTCTTATAACAGCACTAGCAAGAAGCACGGAGAGCAAAAGCCCAGATGCTAACCGATATTTAAGCATCTTGCCCCCAAGCACAAATTTGGTACCCTCTAGAACATATCTGTAACCTGAGGAAGTTTATGAGTGTCAAAGCCTGTGACAGAGGGAGAACTGAACTCAGATCTGCCAAGTTCTAGACTAATGCCACGGTAATGATAAATTTAGAGGTATTTTCCTTTTGCAAAATGAATCCTTTTGGTGTCCCCAAAGGAGGACACTAGCATAGGTTCAGATATCACGTCTTTAAAGATACATAAATATTGTACATACCTATGAACATGATTCGAGGCACGTATTGTCCATCAGGTGACAGGTTTTTATCTGTGGTTTCATGCTGGCAGAGAAATTAAAATTATTATTAAAATAATTTATTAAAATATTTCTATAAATTTTGCTGAAGTAGTACCACCTGTGAATAGTCTTATACCAGAGGAGAAAACCAAAAAAGGTTCTACTTGTGAGTGTATACACGTGCAGAAATGCCTGTCATTACATGTAACTGAAATGCCAGAAGTATTTAGCTAAAATGACATGAAAAAGCAAGACAACTAAGTAGAAAACACAGGCCAAAAAAAGATACCAGTCAAACCGCCCCAAACCCTCATACCATGAGATTCAGCATAACGAAGTTATTTTGGGCCATTTCCTGTATCTCTTCATTTTCTGCAAAAGCTTTCTTCAGTGCTAGAAAAGACACAGTCATTTTGAAGTCCATCTCAAATACTGCCTTTCCTTCTGCATTTAGGCAGCACGTTGGCTGGAGACTGGCCACATTGTTCCTGTCTCTGCTGATTCACATTCCTGAGGAGACACTTAAGGGCTCTATCACTGCTTTTTGTTTTTTTGACCCATGTCAGTACAACCTCCCGGCTATGAAAATGGAAGCTCTTTTCTGTTATTTATGAAGCCTGTCGCCTCAATGGATACCATGTCTCAGCTTGACAAAAGTGCATTATTCTCAGAAAATTCTTATTAGATCGATTTCAGCAGCCCTGTCCTTGTCTCCTTCTCTAATTACCAGTTCAGGAGAGCCAAACAGTATTAAATCTGTTCAATGAGTCAGTAACAAATCTGTGTCTCTTAATTTAAACTGACGAGTGCTGCACTGGGGATAGCCCGAGAGCAGCACTGAATATTTTTCATGTTCTTTGTTGGATCGGTTCATGGTGCAGTTTTTTTAAATAACAGTAATAAATTTTTAGATTTTCAACTACATTTTCATTTACCTGTTTCTTTAAATAATTTTGAGTAAGTGCAAGGTAAATGTATAGATATGTAGAGTTTCTTATATAAATGTTCATGAAATATTAACACTCAAAAAATCAAAATTACCTTGGCAGTATTGACAGTCTTCCAAATGATGAATGACCATCAGTGGCTTGTTACTTTATTAATAATAATAAAACATGTAGTTAGATAATTTGACAAGTATGCAAATGGATGATTTTACTAGCAGACTGGAAAAGGCAAACTGCATTTCATTTTATGTTAACTTACAGTAAAACCATACAGACATTCTGTAAAGAATTACAGACATTTTTGAGCAAGGCAAAAGAACATAATTCCTTCATAAAAGAAAGATATAGAAACTGTATTTATTTCTAAAGAGGTTTTCTAAGGTCATAGATTTTACAAGAAAAAACCAACAGTATCATCATCATTTTGCTCCTAGTTACTATATAATCAAACTGCAGAGGCATTTAATATTGCTTAAGTGTGAAGTTCGCCATGATTAAGAAAATAAAAATAATCTGTTTAAACTGGAACGAAAAAATTTTTATAAAATTGAGTTTATTGTCACATACTTCCATAGTTTTTAAGCTTGCTTGAACAGATACACAGTAAGTTATTTTTTCCTCTAAATAGTTTGGTAAAGTATGAAAATTTTACGTTTTTGGGTGTCAAAACACAAAACAATTCTGTGCATTTTCTCCTGTATTTTTTTAACAACAGTTACTGTTCAGCAAATCGGTTTCTAACGCTTGATCTGCTATCACTGTCAAAAATTGCTCAGTTCCTAGCCATTTTCATATAGGGTACATGAAATTAATTGCCTTTTATTTTAAAAATAATTTGCCTTCAATTTAACAATAGCTTATGCTACACTATTATGATCTAAAATGAACTGTAAAAGAGATTTAAATGAATATTGTTACGAATCCTCAAATATATGTTCAGGTGAATCCCAGAGAAGACTCAGATTGTAACTTTCATTTCTACCTGGATAGTGAGAAACAGTGAGAACATCATGCACACAAGCCAACTAATAAAATGTTGGGGAGAACATTAGAGGCAGTAGATCACCATGCAAGAGCAAATGTAACTGATTTCCAGCTGTTGATTAAGAAAGTAATCAGAGGTACATGACATGAAGAAAAAAAATATGTATTGTTGAATTATAATATCTACTTATCATTGCTTATTGAAATGACAATATTGCTGTTGTGACAAAGAAATAACAGCATTAAATGTAGAATTTCCTGTTGACCCATGGGATTTTTTCAGAGTCATAAGAACCCCACAATGGCTTTTATTTGTAGACACAAAATCTGTTTTATTTCATTGGGTAATCTGCAGATCAGCTGTCATGGTGTTTCTTTGTTCTGTTTCATTATAGTATATTCAGGTATAACTGATTAACAGCTTTGTCTTTCAAATTATTTTTTAATCTCTTACTTTTTTTTCGCTTGATAAAGCCCTTCTTCATAGGTTTGTACCCAGGTAATTTCATCTCCCCACCCTAGAAATATAACAGAAGGGTTAACTGGTGTCCAGGCAAGTAACATAACTTTTTTTTTTATATTTATCAGTAGTTGTACACAAATAGGATTTGGGGTTTTTAGTCAAAGGTTCTCAAACATTCTGCATATACTAATTCTATATTCCCTGATAGGTGCACCGGAAGATTAAAAAAAACCCAAAATCCAAAACCCCAGAAAAACTCAGCTCATTGTGTATCCAGTTCAAGTCCTTTGGCAAACCTGTTAGATATCTTTCTAAATACTCAGAGGTCCCTAAACCAGCACCCAGCCCCTTTATGTCTTTATATTGCTTGCTCCGTATTTCATGTAGACCCTGGGGCTTGAAAAGAAAGTTGGTTTATAAAGTTAGAGAGAAAGATAAAATATAATGGCTCAAATAAGGTTGACTTTAACATGAATGTCATTAGAACAGTCTTGGGTTATAAACTTAACTCCCGAGTAATGAACTTCAAACCCTGCAGTTGCAAGTACTTCATTTAATTAAATAATGTAATAAAAGAATGGTTGTTAAATAAAAATCTCCACTGAAAGAAAATCCTAATGAATCATCAGCTTCATAGCTCATCCATAGCTGGTGATACACTGATCTCAAAAAGCAAATTGTCCAGTTGGTTTCATGCCTTCAGATCCCAAAGACGCCAGCCCCTGTGTAGTAGATCCCTGCCTCCCAGGCAGTGTTGCTCCATTCATGATGGCCCTCATGGCAATTGTAGAAGGGTTTCTGGATCTGGACCAGGTTAAGGCTCTGTTTTTTCTGCGTTGTCTGGACAGACAGCGCTTGGACCAGCCCTGGTTATGCAGAGATTTGCTGTTAGCTTTCTCACTGGAGAATTGCTTGTGATGCTACTAGGTCATCTCTTCTTTTAGGAGCGTGGTTTTGATTACGGATCTCTCTGGTTGGTGCTGGGATTCTGGCGTGTTGACCAGTGTGTTCCCAGCCCTGGCTGAAGTCAGGTGCTGAGATAGGTGACTGAGTCAGCCAAGGTCATTCTACCACAGGTTCAAGTATACCCTTTGGTCTGTGAAAATTACAGGTAAAGTGCTCAAGGCTCTACAGCAACCCAAGAGGCCTGAAATCAGAATTAGAAAACTGACACTTGCTTTCTGTGACTGTTTTTTTCAAAATTGCCAGAGTAGAAGGGTCCTTGTTATCTTTTCATGCATTTAGGTTTAGGGGGAAAAATAAATCCCGACATAGGCAAGATAGGCAATAGCTTCCAGATTGAGGTATCAGAGGTGAGCTGTGGGATTGCAAAGCTTGCAGAAGAGGTCAGGGAGGGGGCTGGAGAGTTTTTGGGGTGAATAGGGCTGAAAGGAGAGGGAAGATGGAGAAGAGGAAAAGACCTGGGTAAGCTATTTCTCTGCTTGTATTTCTAAGGATTGGTGAGATATAAATAACTTAAAATAGGGTCTTTAGTTAACATTCAGGTTGAAAATTATGCACTGCAAGGAAGTTAATTATTCACTGCAAAGCATGAACGTGATTATCTGATGAAAAAAAGTTTTAAAAAAGTCACCCAGAAAAACCCACCAGTGGCTCAACCTGTTGCTCTGTGTATAGAAACAGGCCTGTAGAAAAATTTTTGCATGCCAAGTGGAGGTATGAAAATATGTTTCAGTACTTAATAAGTTACCATAACAAAATATCTTTTAACTGGTATATGGAAGAATATTTTTTCACCGATAGTCCTACAAGTGCATCCTGATCTGAGAGACCCAGTTTAGGTTATCTCTCCTTCTACTAGGTCACTGTGAGTTACATAAATTATGCAGGTTATATGAGGCCCTCAGCCATGCCCTTAAGAACAAACTGATGGAGTGAAATGACATGGAGTAAGAAGATGCACTACTCAGAGTGTCACTTAACATTAGAGAAACACACCTCAGGAAGTATATATATGTGTTTTCAGATGTATTCTAAATAAAAACATTTACTAACTTATGTGGTAAGATAAGGAGGTAACTACGTACACTAAATATACAGTACCTCTTGACAGTGTCTGAGGTGCTCGTTTCTCCTTTTTGATTGCCATCGCAAGGTTGGAAGAGACTGCTATTAGCAGGAGGGACAAAGCCAATGTTGAATGGGCCATTATTTCTTTGAGAAGGTCCCTTTCAACGCAGCAAGGAAACTGGAAAACAAAGCAACAGCTTTAGTCGCATGGATTTGTCACCCAGTGCTGTGTGAATCAATGTGTTAGTGCTATCCTACCAATCTATACTACAGAGGCGGTTTTGGTTATTTCTAGAAATGCTTTTCTTTGTGAGAAAAGTGCAAAATGGAGGTGCTTGATTTTATCATGCAGCACTACTTTCAGCTGTCAAAATTAGGCTGCAGGGGACAGTTCTCACTACAGTGTGAACAGCAGAACAGAGTTCATTTCAGTTCATTTCTGGCCACCCAGAGTTTGATTCTTATGAACTAGTACAATGTTGTAATATGAAAATGTCAAGACAGTGCTACTAGTTGTTCGTTCTGTTATTTTTTTAATTTCAGTGAAATGTAACAGCACGGGATCTTTTTAGGGATAGTAGGTTTTTTGGGTCAAAAGATATCTCATGATATCCTCCTTAATAAAGCAGGAAAATTGACAAGTATTTGCCTCCATGTACAATACATTTTAAATCTGCAAATCCTTCCATAATGTTGAAATTGCCATAATTTTTGTAGCCTGCACTCCGTGAACCAGGATGTTAAAGATTGTGAGATAAATGTCAAAGAAATTCCCAGCTGTTTCTCACAATGAAAACTCAAAAAATATCCCCATTCTTCATGGGATTTTAAAACTGATTTTTAGCCCAAATCCTGCTTCATAAAACAATCCATCCACGCTCCTGGCTGTTTCAGTATTCTGAAGGTGTTTGCTTCTCTTCTTGACAAAGATAGTTGTAAGAAATTCAGTAACTTCTGCTTGATAAAAGCCAGAGAGCAAAAGTGATAATTGGGGAAAGGTTTTTCTTATCAATTTTAAAAATCAAGACTTATCAATTTTAAAATTGATAAGTCTTCTTTCTGCCTGGTACAATCATCTTTAGGCATTAAAGCTCTGATATTTAGGTGGACACCTAATATTTGAATCCAGTTAAAAAATATAATGCATATAGCCCAGGATACCACCCAGTTGTCTTATCAGTTCTTGCTGGAGATTCCACTTCCCAGAGACTGAGCTTTAGGAGTTACCAGCATGACCTATTGAGAAAGTGCCTTGACTTAAATACACACAAAAAACCCCAACGCCAAAGCACTTGTGCCTGTATTGATGAAGAAAAATTCAAACTTGAATTTATAAGTGATATCCAGTATGGAATTACAGCACTGAGTACTGGCAAAAGAAGATGTGTCATGTTTCTTAGGACAGAGAGGCATGACAAGTTCAGCACCTATCAGCCTTACTTTAATGAATTCCTCAACATTAGTAACATTACTGTTAACAGTTCAATTTCTAGTGAACAAATTCAGATATTGCTTCCTGTACCTGGCAATCTCAATACAAGAAAAGTATTCCATTCAAGTGACTGGAGAAAAATTTGCACATTAAAATGTGCAAAATTTTAGAAAAACTGAAATATCATCTTATAGTAAGAAATCTATATTTCTGAAGGTTGCTAAAATAATTAATACATCCATGATAACATTTTTCTCCTTAGTCTTGTCCACAACAGTTTTCTTTCCCCAACACGGTATCACAGCTCTGGAGTTGTTTTTGGTTTCACCTATTTTCCTCCTTAGGCTTGTTCATGTTAGCTATTGTTGACTGAGTTTTAGAAAGGAGTCTCCTTTGGAGCTTATTAGTTACATTAATTTGATGATTGGAGAATATGGATGTTTAATAAGGAAACGGGAAGTGTTTCCCAGTGTTTCCTATGGAGAGACCATATCTTTAACTAAAAGATTCTGGGGGATGAGGATTTTTTGGTAATAGAAATTCCATTCAAACTTTCCCCATGTTTGTGCAGACCACTAACTTCAGTCAGCAAAAGCAGATCATTACACACTACTACTATACTCTTGACAAATGAGTACTTGTAGCAACTCTATGTGAAAGTTAATAACTATCTTTAGTATCAGTTTACTTATTAGATGTTAATAATAAATCCAACATTTATATTAACGTGTTAAAATGCTATTTAAACATAAATAGTTATGACTTTGAAATCATACCAGATAATGTCGCTATGAAGCAGGTATGGAATTTGTGAATCAGTTCTTTCTTTCATGATGTATTCATGAAAAAATTAAAATGTATCTTCAAGTCACAGGATTAATTATATGAAGCTTAAATAATTGATTATCATCCTATTGAAAATCGATAGGGTTTTGGAAGGATAATTTATGGAGCTGTAGCTGGAGGCAGTTTAAATTAAATATTCTGAATTTTTGATGTTACATGGTCCAATGTTAGTTAATTGATTAAGAGAAAAAAATGACAGCCAACACCATATAAATTGCCTTCATATCTCTATCAGAACAAATGTTTTGCTAGCTAATCTGTAAGCATCTATCATTTGTCTTTTTTGTATAGCTAGGCTTGTAATGAGTTTGTCAACCAAACCTCATTGCTGTAATAAAGGAAAGTTAAGAATAAGAAATACTTGCTCACCAGCAGTGATCAATTCTCCCGATGGAAGGTCCTTTTTCTGGAGCCGGTTAGTTAAAAAGCGGTGTGGTTTAAAGACAGAACACCTGAGCTGCCCAGGTCTCTGTGTAGCAACAGCAGCACATTCACCTGGGAATAAATGAGAGGAACCTTTTAGCTGAAAACCAAATTCACGTGTTTTCACCCTCCCCCTTCCTTTTCTGCCATCCCTCCAACTTTCGCTCTTGTGAGTTCCCATGCTCGTCCACTGAATCCTTGGATTTCTCTTCAGCTTGGCTTGTATCAGGTGTCTTGTATGAGGACTGGAAATAAATAGTGGCTTATGTGTGTCTGCTACTTCCCCCCTCAAACACTTTCAGTCTGGCTTATGTCCAGTGAAAAAAGAAACCGCCAATGAAAGCTGGGACTGTAGGTGCTTTTGTTCCCAGTGAATGGCTGGGTTCAGTGGTGCTTGAAGACAGGTATGAGCCTAATAGGAAGACACAAGGGTTACTTTGTGTGGTGGTGCTTGAAGACAGATATGAACCTAATAGGAAGACACAAGGGTTACTTTGTGTAGAGGAATGTAATTAACAAATAAAGGTAACTTTTTTTTGAGGGGGAAATTAAATTCTTTATTTAAAGAGTATGGTTTAAAGTATCTGATTATTGCTGCTGTGAGTTGTAGTTTAAAAATGGTCTGATTCTTTGGACATGATGTTTGATATAATTTTTACCTAGCAACTAATGGGGGAAAAGTCCTTTATTCATCATCTTTACATAAAGAAGGAATTAGAGAGATCACCTTTTCCCTCCTCCTTGAATAGCTTTTGCAAAAGAATTAGAAGAAATCCTCTTTTGGTCCTTCCTCTCCCATGTATTTGTTTATATGGACTCTATGGTTACACTTTTCCTTCCTCATTTTCATGTAAGGTCTGAATTCTTATTTATCATTGATGCTTTGATCTACTGATGTTTGCTGTTACTGACACGTATACAATTAATGATGTACGGTTCTTGTATTATGTATTATCAACTATTTTGGTACCAAAAAGTGCAGAATGTGACTTTCTGTGTTTTTAGTATCTTTAACATTTGTAACAGAGAGTTCAAACATGCATTTCCAGTTAAAAAAGTATACTAATTGTATTTAAATCCATAATACATTCAGCTCCTGGAATGGCTGAAAAAGAAAGGTTGGTCACAAAAGAAATACAGGCAGATATTTAAATCAAAGTGTTATATTGCATTTATTAATTTAAATTTTAAGCATATAATTATCTGAAATCAAACCAAGGATAATATAAAGAACCTTCATCCATCCAAGCTATCCATCCATATCTCTCCATCCAGGCTTTGCGTATTCACATAGAAATTTTAGGCACTGAAGCTTCAATTATTCTTACTCTTCAACTAATTACAGATCATTAAGTAATTAGAAATACCAGAATTTTCCAAGTGGACTGAAGTGTATTGCTTTTCAACCCTGAGATATTGTGTTCTTCAACCCTGAGGTATTGTGTTCTTCACTGCACAGGTTTCTTATTGTAAGGAGTAAAGGGGTGGACATTCAATCAAATAGATTAAAATTAGTGCTGAGCTACCTGTGACTGCCCTTTGGCAGGACAATGGCCAGCAATTTGTCTTCTCTGCTCTATATTTGAAGATCAGAATTTCAGCCTTTCTCCATCTTGCCACGGAGAGGTTGCCAGTCCTGGTAAAATAGACCTTGTCAAGGTTTAATACTGGAAGAAAATGTCTGTAATACTTTACAAATCGAAGCTGGATGCCTTCACTACAACTATTCAGTCACTGCTTGTTAGGTGGGACCTTATCAGCTCCCTGTCCCTGCTTTCTCCTGCATGTGTTCAGCGTTCGCACCTGAACCAAGCGTGAAGCGAGAGCTCATGGGAGCTGGCTGCCCTCCGCCCCGGCCACCAGCCGCACCCTCCGACAGTCACATCGCCAACCTGTGCCGCAGCAGTTGCCGGCCAAATGCTGAATCTCTGCACCGGGCACCCGTTTCCGCACTCATTCACTGAACTAGCGAGCTCATTGAGCTCGGCCAGCGTAGTCTCTGGGGTAATGGGGGCAGAAGGCGTTCCCATTTCTCTTCCATTCTGAAAGGTTCGTTTTGGAGGCACAAGTAACTACGGGTTAATCGTGTATATACAGTTGTATCCAGGCCAAAATTAGGAAATGTGAGAATTCGCTAAATATAGGGCAGAGCCAGGCAGCAATAAAGCATGTGAAGAGGACGGACTTTTAGAAAGAGAAAGGCATGGGAGAATAACTGACCCTTGGAACTGCGTGCTGCTGCTTTTGTCTGAGCCATGCAGCAGCAGATTTAGGTAGGTATCAGCCCCTTTATGAAATCTGAAACTGACTTTTAAATTTTGCTTTACATAGTGCTGCACAAATGCTAATTCAGAAAAAAAACTAACCCCACTGTATTGATCAGTTCCCTGATCTCACCCTTTCTGTGGCCTCATGAGTGTTTTTTCTGGCACAAGGCA